GTGCATGGAATTTCCTGGGGATTAATATCAAAAATCAGCATCACAATGCATCCACCTCTTTGTGCTGATTTACTCCCAGAAATCACCCACTGCCCAGAGCAGAATAACAAACACACTCACACCCAGCTGCCCCAGGTCCCACCTGCCAAACCAGCCACAGGCCACGCTGAGAAGCAAAAACCAGCAGCTATTTTCTGGCAAAAATTGCAGTAGATTTTGGGGAAAGCTTCTTGAGGCAATACTTCGGAACTTCCCACCTCTGACTCACTGTAGCACCAGGAAAAACGGAGCTGGGGTGTTTGCATGGGAATCTCTGCCCCAAGGAATATTTGGAAGAAACAACTTCAGTGGAGAAATTTGTAAGTGACTTGAGATCGTGGTGCTGACCTGGGGACAATTTGGCCCCATGCACTGTTTGGGTTTACTTTCCATTTCTTTCTATTGGTGAAATAAGCACTAAGGCTTGTTGGGAACTCGCCTTAAAAATGCAACACGTTTGGGCAAACAAATCCACACATGGGATTGTCTACAAGGAGGGTTTTGTTTCAACTCCCCACACCAATGAAGGAGGCACCTGGTGGCTCTTCTGACTTTAGCATTGATTTGAGAAGTCAAAAATTTCCTGGCAAAACTATATTCCTATCGAAAAACACTCTACTAACAAAGTTAGTAGAGTTGTTCTAAAAAAAGTCTCCCTTCTACAGAAAATCCAGGCAGAAAAGCTTCAAAATTATCACAGAATCCCATGTAAGGTTTTTTTCCACATAAAAACTTTGACATCATCAGTTAGATAATTGCAAAAACTGGTGTAAAAACCCAAAATACAATCAAGATCAAAATCAAAACTCCCATTAAATTAGTGAGTGAATTATTTAGCTGTTAGATTTAGTTTTTAATTCCATGAACACTTGGCATCCACCAGCTTGTTTTCTGGAAAGGTGGAAATGGGAACTAGCAAATGGGCAAGAATTCCTTCAGTCCTGGACAATTAGTGTGGCCACATGAGTCAAGACTTTGCCTTGCACAAAAATCAGTGGAAATTTCCGCTGTTGGCCTTGCTGGGCACGGGTTTGGCAGAGCTATCCCAGTTCACCCAGAAATCCGTGGCAGCCTTGTCCCTGGCTATGCTCATCCCGGGATTAACCTTTTAACAGCTCATACCTTTGGGGGTGTTGAAGTCTGACAGCTGAAATCCTGCATCTCTACCACACAAACACTGCAGTGGCCTTGCAAAAATCCTGCTCAGCCCCCGTGATCTTCCCAGCAGACATGAAACCAGACCCTGGAGCTGCTTCCCCCCTCCCCCCGGTTGTGAAGTTTATGAGCTGTCAGCGTGTCAAACCTCCACTTAGCTGGGCAGCTGTGAGCAGCCAGAGCCTGAGATCTGCCAGGGCAGTTTAACAGAGCCATCAGCTCCTCACGGGGGGAGGCTGTGGCCTGTGAACACCCAGGGGTGAGGGAGAACCACCAAGCCTTAGGTGAGTTCACCTTTCACGTGGAGCAAAGAGAGGTGAGGACAAGGAAGAGGCAAAGAGAGACAATCCCACTTATTTTTGTTTGTGATTGTCCAAATGGGATCCACCACAGGGGTGTGGTGTCCACCTGATGCAGTCAGACAGAGGCACCTGAGCTGTGATCCAGGGATTGTCCAGCCAGGGCTGCCCAGCACACAAGTGGCCCTGGGATCCAGAAGGTGGGTGAAATGATGATCAGACATTGAGGAGCTGCTTTCAAGTATCTTTTGTGATTATAGGTCACAAAACACTTCTCATACATCTGCCTCCCATCTTACACCTTCAGTTTTGTGGACAAGATGGATGGGTAGATGTGGCCCTTCAGAGAATCACAGAATTAATCCCATCCAGTCCCACCCCCTGCCATGGGCAGGGACACCTTCCACTAGCCCAGGTTGCTCCAAGCCCCATCCAACCTGGCCTTGGACACTTCCAGGGCTGGGGCAGCCACAGCTTCTCTGGGCAACCTGTACCAGGGCCTCATCATCCTCACAGGGAAGAATTTCTTCCCAATATCCAACTAAACCTACTCTCTGTGCATTTAAAACCATTCCTCCTGTCCTCTCACTCCAGGCCCTTGAAAATAAACTCTCTGTTAATACCCAGAAACCCTGATCTCAGCTGGCCCTGGTGTTTTTACAGTCATTTTTAATCCAAAACACATCTCCTGGACTTAAAAACTCTGTTGAGACAGTAGTAAGACTCCAAGGTGGTAGAAGATTCCCTGCTGGATAGGTCCATGTGGATGTGTGTGTGTGGCTATTTTTTTTCCCACAAGAACTTGATTGACTGATGTCTGTAGATCCTGAGAGCCAGCAAAAGATCTGCTCTGATATCCAGAAAATTTTACAAGGGGCGGCAGGCTTAAAAGTGGTGGGAAGAAGCTGAGTGTGCCAGGATGTTGGAATGAGAAAGCCATCAGGAATGTGCCTCGGAGAACAGCTGCTACTGCAGCCCTGGCAGGAACCTCCAGGAAAGCTGCCTGGGAGCAAGGAGAGGGACTCAGAGATCACAGCTTGAGACAAGGGAAAGGTTCTCTTTAGTCAGTTAGTTAGTTAGCTAGTTAGTTAGTTAGTTAGTTAGCTTTTCCTGTCTCTGCTTTCGCTTCCCTCCTCTCTCCCAGCACTGTCACAACAAAGTCAGAGCACCTTGGAGAAGAGCTTGCCTCTGGTTTGCGCACTTGGGACTCTTCCCTTTCTCCCCACTGGAGCACTGAAAAGTGAATGATATAAAAACCCTGGACCTTTGGCAATAAAGGAAATTTCTGTCCATAATTCAGGAGTCCATGTAACATCCCATTCCATCTGTACCCCACAATCCCTCAGCACGGCTCGTGCAACACAGTTTTCCCTCTCCCCAGAAAAAGGTACTCCCTGCACTCCTTTCTCCTTTTTTTAACCTTTTTACCACAGGAACATCTATTTTTATTCCCCACTTAACACCTTCTGTCCACCTACACAAGTGCGAGCAATTAGAACAAAATATGCAAAACAAAAATGGGGGAATTCACACATTCCAATTCCAAGCTTAGTCCCCTTAATTAGCCACTTTCCCAGGATCCATCTATCTCTGATCTACACGGCCAGCACATTAACACTGTTACTGCTGAACACCCCGGGATGGTCTTTTGGCTAAAATCAAAACCTGGAGTCAGCTTAAGGTTTGCTAGATTTCCTTTTCCAGTCTCCATAGCCAAATCTGGAGGGATGATGGATTCAGGAAAATCCAGCACCTCTCAAGAGGAAGCTGGAGGGAGGTGAGAGGGTTTCCACTGCAGTGCTGTGACTGGCTAATGCTTCTTTGGGAAAGAGGGATAATGGGAAAAGTCCTCAACCAGCAGCTGTCCAGGTGTGGGGGGAAATGTCCATTCCCAGACAGCTGAGGGGAAACACCGAAAACATCCCGTGGTTTTGGCTGCTGGGAGAGCACATGGAGCACATGGAGCTCATTGTCCCGAGAGCACGGACAACAAACACCTGGGTGGGTTTGGGGGAGCTGGGTCAGTGTGGGTTTGGGGGAGCTGAGTCAGTGAGTGTTTGGAGAGCTGGTTTGGTGTGGGTTTGGGGGAGCTGGGTCAGTGAGTATTTCCCTGTCACAAGCCTGCAGAACTCCTTCCCTCCTCTCCCAGGATCCAGCCGGGGCAGCGGGATGAGCCCAGCAGTGCAGTGGCCGCACGGAGGGCAGACTGCTGGGGTCTCCAATTCACTGCTGGGGTCTCTATATCACTGCTGGGGTCTCCATTTCCCTGCTGGGGTCTCCATTTCCCTGCTGGAACCCGGCACAATCCCCGATCCCTCCCCCTTCCCTTCCCTGTCCCCGAGGGACTCTATTATACCCCCCGATCTGTTCACACTCCTGATCCCTCGGCGTGTTTGCACACACTGCTGACCCAGCCTTTATCTCCAGACATAAGGGTCTCTGTGTGGAGCTCCCACAAGGGCTATTAATCGTGTAGATGTCAGAGTCCCCCAGCTCCGAACCCTCCCTTCCTGCTCCTCCCCTCCCCTTCCATCCCCCCACCCTTTTCATGCTCTCTGAAGGTGGAGGGGGAGAAAAAAAAATACTTTTATAAAAATTCACACACAGAACTTGCAAACTTTGCAAAATATGATCTGCTCCCCTGGGAAAAGTTGGTAAATGGTGGGATTTGTCCTCAAATATCAACCAGAAACAAACACACTGTTCCCTCCTAAGCAAAGGGAGGAATTTCTCCAGCAGAAAACAGAGCACCAAATGCCTTGCCAAGTACAGGAAAGTTTGGCTCCTGGTTCCAACGTGGAGCGAACCCTCAAGCTGGTACCTCTGCAAGGGGCCAAATCCAAAGGGCCTATCTGCAAATCTGTGGGAATGTAGGATAGAATATGCTCAGCTGGAAGGGACCCATCAGGATGATCAAGTCCAGTGCTGAACCAGAGAATATTCTGAGTTCGAAGGGACCCACAAGGCTCATTGAGTCCAACTGTGAAGTGAATGGCCCATGCAGGAATCAAACCCACACCTCTGGTGTTATTGGTACCACGCTCTGACCATCTGAGCTCGTCTCAGGGTTCATGCAGAACTGGATTTAAAGCTCAGATCCTTGTGGATGTGGATCTGGAGAAGTGTGTCCATGTCACCACCTTTCAACACCCCCTCAGAATCACAGAACGTGCTGAGCTGGAAGGGACCCACAGGGATCGTCAGCCCGACCCTCAGCCCTGCACGGGACCATCCCCTGAGTCACACCCTGTGCCTGAGGACCATCCAAACCCTCCTGGAGCTCTGGCAGCCTTGGGGAGCCTGTTCAGTGCCCAACCAGCCTCTGGGGGAAGAACCTTTTCCTGAGACCCAACCTGACCCTGCCCTGACACGGCTCCAGCCGTTCCCTGGCTGCTGTCCCTGCTCCCCCCGGAGCAGAGATCCCTCTTGCCCAGCAGCACCCTCTCCTTGCCCAGGGTGACCAGGGAGCTGTTCCCCAGGCTGTTCCCCCGTGCTGACCCTCCTCACCTGCACACGGGCCTCGGTGAGTTTGGTCCTCTGGGCCAGCTCCTCACGGGTGTAGATGTCGGGGTAGTGGGTCCTCTCGAAGGCCTTCTCCAGCTCCTCCAGCTGCTCGGCCGTGAAGGTGGTTCTGCTGCGGCGCTGTTTGCGCTTCAGGGGCAGGTCTGGCTCAGATTCCACGTCAGAGCCTTCATCCAACCTGTTACCTGGGGAGGGAGAGGAATGGGAGTGAGGTTTGTGTGGTTCAAGGTCAGACAGAGGCTGTGGGAAGAGCGGAGCAGCCCAGAGAAGTAATCCTGGTTCTCCTGTTGATCAAACAAAGCACTGAATCACAGACACTCCAGTTTGGGTTGGAAGAACCTCAAAGATCATCCAGTTCCACCTGCCATGGGCAGGGACATCTTCCACTATCCCAGGTTGCTCCAAGCCCCGTCCAGCCTGGCCTTGGACACTTCCAGGGCTGGGGCAGCCACAGCTTCTCTGGGCAACCTGTGCCAGGGCTTGCCCACCCTCACACGGTGCCCATGTACAACACATCTGCCAGATTTATGTTATTTATGTTGTTTCCTACTATTATTTTTTCCCACATTGCAAAGAAAACTTAGGAAAATCAAAACTCCCGCAGGAAAACGGTGGCTCGTGGTCCTCGGTTCAAATTGTTACAGAGAAAGAACTTCCAGTTGTTGACTTATTTCAAGAAATTTCCATTTTTTAATTTGAAATTACTGTTTCAGAGGCGCACATTTTACACTGAAAAATGTCGAAGCTGAAATAAGCACATAAAAATGTCACATGAAAATGCTTTGGCTTGTGCTGCCTCATTTTCTCCTGTGTTTTGTCAAGTGTTGGTGTTTAATATTTCAGCTCTTTTAAACCACTTTAGGAAGCAAAAAAAAAGAACAATCAGGAATTCTTTACAGGTGGAGAAAAACCTTTCCAGCTCTGCTTTAGCTGTAGGTTGGGCTGCCCACAGGATACAGTTCCTCAGCTCTTAAATTCCCCCATTTCAGCAGGAGTTTTGCACAAGACCAGACTCCTACAGAGTTCAGATGCCATCAGAGTCCTTTCCCAATGACTAATTGGTCACTTATTCCTTGGCTTTCCCTGGACCTGTGCCTTTCCCTTCTCCCTGCCTCAAGCCTGGCACCACATCTGTTGCCTCCTGAGGCCCAAAGAAGTACAGCTGGAATAAGTAAATGCAGTTTTCCTCCATTTTTCCCCTCTGGAGATACAGCAGAAGGCACTACATTGATGTTCCCCAAGTGTCCAGTGGATTTTGGAGGGGGCACACCCAGACCATGGAGCTGTGACTCCAGTGTTTGCTCTCATGGAACAAATCTCGTTACAAGACACAACGTGCAGGTCTCAGTTCCCTGCAGTGTCTGAAGGATCTCAGCCAGGCCAAGCTTCGTGTCTGCCTTTGGGACAGGGAGAAACGTGCCCCTGGTCTGTGGCAGCAGGGGAGGAACAACCTGAGAGATGATACCCTTGAGGCAGGAGAGAGATGTGGTCTGTCACCTTTTCCTTCTCTCTCATGAGAACAGGAGGCTCTATAATGTCACTGATTTCTTTTCCCTACCAGGCTTGACTTCGGTCTTTCAGAGGAACCACAGAGCCAGAATCAAACTGTGCTCACAGAGAAGTAATTTTTCCTTCTGGGTGAACCTTTGCTAATCTAAGGATTAAATCAGGACTTCCATGTGCTCAACTTGACGATAAAGTTCCCTGAAGTTCCTCACGGTGTTTTTCAGCCTCTATATCATCATCATCCAAAAATCTGCCTCTTTCCTTGTCAGGGCTGGGAACGGCAGCTGTGATTCCCCAACAGCTGCCGGGGAGCGGCGGCAGTTTGAGGAGTAGGAGGCAAATATCCCCTCGGAGCTCTCTTGTTTATACTGAGATCACCACAAAATGCCTCTGCATTCAAAACAAAAACGCTTTTATGTCCCGGGGCTTCACGGGGAGGACGTGGGACCTCGGATAACGCAGTTGTGCTGGAGCCAGGGCAGCTCTGCTGCAGGGGAGTGGGTGGCTTGTTCTGGGGGCAAAAACATCACCCTAACAGGTTTTTCCTCCTTCTGCCTCTGGCTTACCAATAAGTACGTAAGGGTCTTTACATACATTCATCTTTTAGACCATCTTTTATTTCTTCATTTCTCACCAAAAGCAGTGAGAAATTCGCTTTTGACCTCAGAGGAGCAGCCTCTGCCCCACAGTTTAAAGACAACATCACTGCTCGTGGCAAAAACCTGCTACTAAACTAGTTTTTTGGTTTTGTCCACTTTCAGGGAAGGTCTGGAGTGTCAAATAAAAGGAACATCTGCACTTGAAAATAAAAGCCCTCCACATCTGGGTCCCACATGATTCAGGACAGGTAGAAGCACATCTGGGCCCTGGAGTGAGTACCATGCTGTGCAAAAGCACATCTGGAAACCTAGAGCATTCAGTAAATTTAAGTTCATCACTGAAGTGATTATTAATTACTTTGTGTCTTTCCTGGTAATGTTGGGTATGAAAAATAATAAGGACAGAGGTGTGTTTGTGTCTAGGGTGTGAGAGAGCCAGTGTGAGGAAGGGGAAGGAAAACACAGAGGAAGGAAAATACCCAGATTTAAATGTCCTATTTCTCTGTAGTTACTACCCACCCAGGTGTAGTTAGGACACACACTACACACACTTAGTAGGAACTGGCAGCCTGTGAGCTCTTTAGCACAAGAATGGTTGTTTGGGTGTTTCACCAAAGCCCCAAACAGGCAAGTCCTGTCATGAAAGTGTAATCATGGCTGGGGTCTCCCCTTGCCCCTGCCCTGGCAGCAGTGTCAGATCATCTCCCTACAGCTCATCTGCTCATCTGATCCAACTGCTGGGATCCAGGATCTCCCTGGGTGAAGGAAAAACAGTCTGGAAAAGGATCTGTAACTTATTTCATCTCCCACACTTCACTTCGGTCTGCAGAAGTCCAGAAGGGAAAACAGCCAAACTTCCTGCACCAGCTTTGAACTCCTCACTGAGGATCCCTGATTTGGCCACAAGGTTTTGGGAGAGGGTGACTGATTGTCATGTGCCACCCACAGCCATCAGTGCTGCCTACGGGGTTAAGGCCAACCCTTGCAAAGTAAACTTCCCTATCCCCAAGCCTCCCAACAGCTCCCGCCTGGCATTATCCCCATTTCCCAAGCGTGGCAGGGACGGCGGAACTCACCCACCTACGGTCACCCCGTGAGTCAGGAGCAGAGCTGGGAACAGAAGCCACAGCTCCTCGTGCCAAGTCCAAGGCTCCAACAACCCAACTACAAAGATGAAACCAAGAGAGCAAGAAAAATCCCAGGATATGTGTGGAACCAGCTGGTCTGACACGGAGCAGCTGCTCCTGTCACACAGGGAATCAGGGAAGAATAGAGAAAGTCTTCCAGCTGGGATGGGCTGGTCGAGCCTGTTATCCAACACATCCCTGCTATCGTGGACAGGCTCCCTCACCTGCCTAACGAGCAACTCCACAGGTCTGTGCCCTTCCTGACCAGCTGGAATACCTTGGACAAACCATTTCCAAAATCTCCCAAAGATTCCACCCAATTAGAAGCTCTCAAAAGCTGCAAGAATAACTCAAAGAGACTCCCTCGCTGGGGATTCACCCAAAATTTAAACACTTCATTTTTTGCAACACATCCCTGTGTGAAAAATGGTTGTGAGCAGGGGAAATCCCAGTTTCCAGCCCCCAGCACAACGGGATTATTGCTGTAGGAACAATCACGAGCTGGTAGCGTTTTACACTTACTCAGCACAAGCAACAATGTAAATAAGAAGGTGGAGAAATATCTAGAAGCAGCTTCTTGGGTGGTTTTCCAATCAGTTGTTGTGATGAAGGATGGGAACCAGCTATCTGTCCACCACGGAGCTCCCCCAGGATATCCCACCGGGAAAGACTGACAGGAAGGAGCAGAAAGGGAACGTGAATGGAGGAAAAAAATCTCACAGCAGAACAAGTCTGAGAAAAGGAAAAAACTTAAGGAAAAGCATGTGTGTTACACACACACTCATCCCACTAGATTTTATATTTTAAGAGCAATTCCACCTTTATTTTTTGTGTAACTGCTCTGTAGCTCAGGAAGAAAACAAACTGCTCAAACCTCTCTGCTTTGCAATACTTTTAGAACTAAAAAGGCACAGACTTCATCATGGGAGTGAAAGCAGGGGGATGCCAGGGTGAAAATTCGTTGGCTCTTCCCTCTTCTCCCGAGGAACTGTGCCAAGGTACAGGTACCTTCCTGGGGCAGAGACACAACCTGGCTCGTGCAAGAGGGGAGAGATAACCACGTGAAGGGACTTGCTGAAGGTCTGTGTGGAGCAGTGTGGAGTTCTGCTCTGCAGTGGGCTGGGGAAGATGGGATGAACCCCAGTGGTTGTTTCTGCCCGTGGACACGAGTGTGGCCAGAGCTGGTGTGCAGGGGTGAGGGCAGGATGGCACAGCAAAGGTGACAAAGAGAAGCCTGGGCACGTCCTGGGGGCCATTCTGGCCCAAGGAAATGTGGGAATTACCTCCCCCAAACTCCCATTCCTCAATAATGCTGCCGGTTCAGGATGGGTACAACTAGAGAGAGCTGGGCAGAGCTCTCTGAAGGGATTTGAGAGGAGCAAAGGGAGCTGGAGGAAAGGACTGAGAAAACCCTCAGTAATTACAGACTGGTTGTGTCCTTCCTCTCCCCATTCCCTTCCCTCCTCTACTTCCCTTCCACCCCCTCTGCCTTTCTCCTCTCCATTCACTGCTTCTGGACTCCTCTTAGCCCTGGAGTTAAATTAATCAACAGGATTAGGTGGCATCGGCCACAACAAGACCCTCCAGTCTCAGCCTGAGCTCTTGATGCTCTACAAGGACCTGCTGCCCTGCCTTGAAGCACCTTGGAGCCGTCTGGAAGGATTGGCAGAGAGGACCAGACATGGAAACGCATTCATTAAAGTGGGGGTTGGATTTTGTCAGAGGGTAAAGGGGAGCTGCACACTATTCCTCATCTCATTTCCTTTCTTTCTTTCTTCCTTCCAGCTACACCATCCTAAAAATTAAATGTGTGTTGGAGGGGAGAGATGGAGAGGGAGGAAGGGTCTGGGTTTGTGAATGGCTTGGCTACAACTGCACCTCCTGTGCTGCAATTGGCTTCAGCAAACACACTCCAGTACAGCTGGAGCAGCAGAGATGCTCCACAGAACCCAC